CAACAATAAACTGGTTCAGATTAACATAAAATAAATCATGTTTTATAATTAAATATCTGTTTCCTGCTATAAAGAAAAATCCTCCTCCTGTCCTTGTTCATAATCAGGGTCAGGGTGGGGCTAGAACATGTCCTCGCTGCATTTGGTTGAAGACAGGGGACACCTGGACAGGTCTCCAGTTCACCAGAGACACCTGGACAGGTCTCCAGTCTCCATCAGGGACACAAAGAGACAATCAACCATCCACACTCTGTCACACCTAGAGTCACACAGAAGAGCTCCAGAAGGTTGAGAACTGGAAACTCTGGACTCAGATCATCTGCTGCACACAGCTCTAATCATTTATTATCAATAAYAATTTTATTGATAATTATCATGAGTCCTTAACTAGAATATAGTTGGGCAATKAAATATTCATGTATGTGTAAATTTATTACCATAATTGCAGGTGAGTCACGTAAATTTATGTTTTTATTAAACAAGTAGCCCCCGCCAAGACCAATTTCCTAGGGGAAACACTGAGTTTTTATTTATTAAAAAAATAGTGTCAACACTTCATACATGTTTACACACACAACAGAAAGACAGACACATGTCCACATCATGTTCAACTTTATTCCCTTTCTGATTTCAAACACATTCAAGTTGTAAATCTTTAATAATGATCTTTTTGTGCCAACTGTCCAACTTTTAAAGAGCAACTTATTCAACAAGCTGCCTGCCAGTCTGTCACCAGCCAGCATCAGTCTTTAGGCTTTCACTTCATCTCTGTCCTCCTTCCTCTGTTTCATAACTTAGACAAACCCAGCCACAGGACCCATTTTACAGCAGGAAACATCGAAAATAGAAGGTCAAAGATCCTGAACCATGACTAAAAGACCAGCAGATCTCCAAGTGAGATGCTCAGAAAACACAAAGAGGCCCAACATCATGGAGCCCCTCGGGGTTACAGGAAGTCATCGGTCAGAGAGCAAACAACACRTCATCAGCTGGGATAAGGACAGAAGTTAGACAATTATTTTACTCCAAGCCGTTCTGCCAYTGGAATCTGATTTTCTGACTTCAAACATCATTTTTACCCATGGTTCCTGGGGGGGTGGGAGATCTGTTCTAAACAAGGTTACATTGGAAAAAACAACAACAACCTGTTCAGTTACATTATACAGTTACATTAGCAACATTATTGCTAAAAGATTTACTACTTAAAGCATTTGTTTGGGATTTCAAACGGATGTGTTAGAGACCAGGAACAGTTTGCTGTGAGAGGTTTTCTTCCACTGGACATAAGACATATTTTGTTTGCTTCTTATTTATTTATATCGTTCACACATTTAGTTAAATAATACAAATAACCAAATAAATATCCTCCGAGCAGCAGACTGATGGTCAGTGTGATGTTCAGTCAGATGGTCGATCTAATGCTCAGTGTGATGTTAATTTGAAAGGTTGTCGGATGTTCAGTCCAAACCTGAACTTTGTGATGCCTCTTGTCTTTGACTTTAAATGACCTGACATTTAAGTAAATTGACAGTTACACAGTAGATAATCTCTTTTTAATATGTTGATATTTTAACGTGTTGCATAATAAATAGATATTAATAGATAATATCATAGACTTATTACAGCTGATTACCCTCTGAGCATTATAGTAAAGACCTTTTCTGCCTGTAGCAGGTGAGAAGTGTAATAGCAGTTTTCCTTCGAACTAGATCAGAAAAAGGTAAAAAGCTCAACTGAGAAGTTTTTTTAAATTATTATGAGTTGGACAGTTGAAGGACCATAATCCAATACGGTTGTTCTGCACAAAAAAACTGAAAGCTGTGGAATTTTTTTTTTAATTTTTGCTGGTTTGAATCTCATTTAATCATCTGCAGTAATTTAAAACCTCAGTGGAAACATGGTTGTGTTTGGTAAACTGTGTTATTTAACATTAACTTATTATATTCTAATTGTACTAATTGT